GCCTGGATTGAATATATTTAAATGTTTACGCCTATCTTTTCAATGTCAAATGATGAAATTTTTATATTATATATTGATTCGGTTAAGTTTAAAAAATTAAATTCAATTTGTCCTCCCTTGTAATAAATTATATCATACTTTTTATATAAATTAAATAAAATTTCATATACTTTACTATGACATTCCCAATATCCAAAATTATGTTTTTAATAAGATAAATACAGCCGTGTAAGAAATTTCCAAATTTAATAAATTTCTTTTTATCTCGTGGTGATAAATTATCAAAAGTAATAAATTGATTATAAAAATCTATCTTCCCAAAATTGTTTTTAGGTCTTGCTGCAAACCCAATTTGTCTACATAATGTGTTGAATGAAAGATTTTCATCTTGAATCGTGAAAGCTTCAAAGTCAATGATAACTCCTATATCGCGTGTAGGTCATATTTACTGTTTTCTTTTATATCTATACTTGATTGATATATTTTTTAAAAAAATTTACAATATATAGTTTTTTATATGTTTCTATTTAATTGATATATTTTGATATAAATTAGATTTTCTACACTCAAAAATACTCAAATGGTAAGTGTTAAAGTTATATTTTATTAAAATTAATACTGTGTATTATAATATAGTTTCTGATATAGGAGTTATCATTGATTGACTGCACCTCCTCTATAATTAATACAGCACTAGTGTTACAGTGTTACAAGATATTTTATGAGAACTAAAATCAAATAAATTAAAAAGTTTTCTAAATATTAATAATCTCAATTTATCTGAGAGATTTTTGATCTGAAATTATTGTATCTAAAATGAATATTGTTTCAAGATATTTTATAAAAAGTAAAAAAATGAAATGAATTGTAAAGTTATCTAAATATGAAAACTAAAACATATGAGAATAAAATTACACATAATTTTAATTTATCCAAGAAATTTTTGATCCGAAAATAATTTATAACTAAAAATTAATTTGAAAATTATACACCACAAATTATTTGTAATTTTAATTTAATTGACATCTGAAATTAATTTTGTGATGAAGATTCCTATTGAAAAATTAATTTACTTAAAATTTGATTGGAATAAATTCACTGAATTTCAAAATCTTTCAAATAATGTTAATAAGCAATACACACATAAGTTTGATATAAAAAGAAATTAAAATTACCAACGATTATAACTACGACTTTAAGCGTATTAAAAGCTTATCTAAACCGGAATTATGTTTCTCGTTACCAAATACTTGGCCAGCAATTTATTGTTAAAATAAAATGAATTTAACTCAAATTTATAATTAATAGAGTAAGTTTGACTTATTGTTAAAATAAAATAAATTTAATTTAAATTTATAAAAACATTTAATAATTAATACAGCCTTATTGTTAAAAAACAAAATTAAGATTTGTGATCTGAAATAATTCTATTCAACAAATTTTTATTTGCAATTGTAATTTAATCGACATCTGAAATAAATTTTGTGATCAGTATGGTCCAAACCACTACAACTAACACTACAGTTAGAACAATGGTTGTTGGTATAGGGTTCATACTCGACCGATGAGTTAAACGCGAGGAGAATTTCCGGGTTTTCATCACGAGTGTGATTTCTAAATTGAAAAAGCTTTTTTCAACGAAAATAATTGCAGAATTCTCTCTTTGCAGATCGCATTGGAATTCTACAAACATTTCATCATTTTCTAAATTCTGGGATCTCGTATATAAAACTCACAGATGTGTTAAATTAAATAAAATGAGAATAAATTTAATAAACCATATTTTTGTTATGGCAGTGCAGGTAAAGATAGAATAATTATTTTTAGTTAGCATTAATCAGTGTGTTTATTAGTAAAATTTAGATACCGTTGAATTATGCATATTAAAAAGCACGATATTTTAAAAAATGGGTGGCATACAAATGGCAAATCTTAATGCAAAAAGTAAGTCTGTGACCTACAGGTTGCTGTTAAATCTATCACAAACGACCAAGAAGCGATCTAAAAGAAAAATTACTATATTTTTAATCAGTTGTGTTTGTTAGAACTTTATGCCTGCTCAACATTTGACTCTTCTTGAGTTAGTGTTGGGATTTTTCAATGTTCTTTCGCACTTTTCTGGAAGTCTTTTTTTGATATAAGCCAAGTCAGGTGAAGAAAATGGTTGCCTCTCATTGTACAGGCCTGGTACTGAACATTGCCACAAAGAAGTCTTTTCTTCTTTCTGATAGATGCTTTCTATAATACTTTTATGGCATTGTGTATGTACCCAATGAGCATTGTCCTTGGTTTTATTAGATATTTTTATTTATTTACCTTTCTAGAATCATACCTTCGTAGAAGTTCTCACGAATTTCTTTTGTCTTCAAGCTCAGTGCACTTCGCATTTCTCGTATAGACAGAAAGACACTGTGATATTCTGGTTTGGCTCAGACATTATCATAAATTAATTAATTTATTGTTTATTATTAATATTTCTTATTTATAACTTTTAACGTTAGCTGTGTATATTTTAATAACTTTCTTTTTTTTTAAAAAAAAGGAATTCGAACCAACATTAAATGGGATATCACTAAACATGCAGTCGAGAGAATTATTAATTGTTATTGGTCCTGTTGGATCAGGGAAGGTAAATATCTTGTTTTTAATTCTAAATTAAAATTATACGCTTTATGATATTAAGATCGATTAAAAAATAAATAAAATGAAGTAAATAAATGGTTACATTTTCTCATTTATAATAAAATAAATTCTCAAAATTTTATATTTTTACCTCTTGTTTAAATAATTTTATCTGTTTCTAATTTTATTTTGATTTGATTTTAATTTTTGAAAAGAAAATACACATTCTGTGCACTTATGTAGGAGTGTATAATTACGTGTTAAAGTTTTTGTTCATCTAACATATTCAATTTAGACATGAATATTTTATCTAAAATTATTAACACCGAAATTTTTATCACTTCACTTACCTCTTAGAAAATTTTCTGAAATTATTCATAACATAAAAGTTATTCTTATTGCATAATTTTTAATTGTGTAACATTAAACAATTTATTTTTTTAAAAATGTCTGCAATCTGTTTCTATTAACCCTTTTTAGTTGTTATGAAATTCACAACCGTAGAATCATATTTGATCTTCAATTTAAATAGATCAGAGATTTATTCATAAATACGTCTAAGGTTGTCGCAAAAATATTCTGCACGCATAATTTAACTTTTATTATAATTTAATTGATGTATTCTAAGAAAGTTTGTTTGCAGATAAAATCTTAGGGATTCATGAATGTGATGTTACAGTTTCTGTTACGAATTCATAGAATATATTGTATCACCTTTTAACATTACATGTGATTTTAAAGAAAGCAATTAATAATTGAGATAATATTTTTACACAAATACGTAAATACTTTTAAAATGTTTATGTACTTACATTATTTATGCAAAACATTACGTTACCAATAATTAAACGACATTAATTTCGACAGTCGTCTTTACTAATGTCCGTGTTGGGAGAGATTCCAATTACTTCCGGTAAAGTGTCCGTGAAAGGAAAGATTTCGTATGCTTCTCAAGAAGCTTGGGTATTCAACGCAACTATCAGGGAAAACATCTTGTTTGGAGAAGAATATCAAGAAGACAAATATAGAAAAATCTTGCATATAACGGCATTAGAAAAGGTATGATGATTTCTACTTTTAAAAACTATATTTTGGAGTCTTTACTTCGTTTCTAGACGAAAAGTGATTTCTCCAAGTCTAAAAAAGCAGTTTTTTAATAAAAAAGTTAAATAAAAAAGTTGATTTTGTAGACTTGAACTTTTATAAAAACCGGTTATAGGAGGCATGACATAAAATTAAATATTAATAGCCGAAATAGTGACTTCGAATACAAAAGACACAAATTTATCTATCAAAACACCGTCTATAAGTCAAACACTTTTAGAAATCAATAGTTATGTTTAATTTTAGTAAAGTTATCAATGCACATTACATTGAACATAATTATGTTGTATTTTTATGTTTACTATTTTTAGGATATTAGCTTATTTCCTAAAGGAGATCTGACAATCGTAGGAGAAAAAGGAGTGATAATGAGCGGTGGGCAGAAGGCAAGAATTAATTTAGCAAGGTAAGACAGGTCTTACCTAAAATTATATTTCTAGGTGTGAAAATATAAAAGAACAATTTTAATAGGAATAAGACAAATATACCGCAATAATAAATACATTTTAATGAAATTCATATATTGTTTATAAGTATATTGGTTCTGATTTTAGTCATTACAACCTGATAAAAAGTGTCACCCTAAACGTATATCGTGTCACTTCTCACTGATATTTTCTAAATTCTCCGTGGTGTATTTGTTCAAAGTAAAACAAATAAAATATTATCTGTTATCAGATAAACCAGTTATTTTAGTCATTTCGTGACCTGATAGTAGGGACATCGTGTGCTATATGTTCTATACTTTATTTGACGCCCTCTCTTCTACTTCGTAATATATAACACAGAAAACACTATTAAACGATACAACAAGAATGGTTTTATTTATTCATTAATGGTGATACATTTTTATATTTTCCAGAACGCTATATGTCGATGCCGATATTTTCCTCCTGGATGATCCACTGAGTGCTGTCGATGTTCCAGTGGCAAAACATATCTTCGAAAAGTAATTATTTAAATAATACTTTTTGAACTTTTCGATACATTTTAACTTTTAATCTGTTTCAGGTGTATAATGGAATATTTGAAAGACAAGATATGCATTTTAGTTACGCATCAAATACAATTTTTAAACTCTGCGTGTAGAATTTTAGCGTTAAAGAAGGTGAATACATTAATTGTTTATTAGTTATGTATTGTAAATTACTTTTTACGGCAACAACGACAATCTTAATCTATTAATCGACTATGCGCCGCGAAAAAAATTTTCGGGAGGGCTATTTTCGGCAGAATTAGTTATTTCAGTGTAGATACGTGTTGAAAATTTGCGAAATTGCATGAGGCCAGTTGTGAGTGAAGCAAAAATCTGTAAGAAAAACTGGTGTTTAGTGATTTATATCTACCGTACAGTTGTGAGTTTGAAAACAGCTACATTGTCTTTCTTTCTATGTACGGAAGTAAATACAGAATAGGAATTGCATTACCAGTTCAAAAGTTCATTTGTGAACATACCAGTAATAAGCTATAGCGAGTAATAAGTTATAGGATGTTTTCATCTCTAAAGCGTGACGGCGAACGACGAGTGCCGCTTACAAGACCGACGTTCAGCGTTCACGTTTTAGAGAAAAAACTTCGGCCGCAAACCTCGATAATTGTTACCGATAAATTCAGTAAAAATTGGTAAGCAAGTGATAACGTTTCGAGTTTAAATTTGTTTACATTCTCAGGTATACAATATTTTTTTATATAAAAACATAGAAGTAATTGTATTTATATACACGATTAATATATTTTAGGGAAAATGTGAATTTATTGGAAATTTTAAACAATTGGAAAATTTACAAATGAATACAGGAATATTACCAAAGGAAAAAGTCTCTGAAAACATTGATATAGAGAGTGCAGTTTTTAATGATGATGATAATGAAATTAGAAGTTTTCAATGTGATACGAATGATGATATTAAAGACAGAAACAAGAGTAATGAGGTAAGAATTATTTATTAAGTAATTATCTGAGTGAAAAATTTCAGAATGGAATTAACTGATGTTCAGCAGTTTTCATTTCTCGGATTGATTTCTCCAAGATTTGTACATCATGAATTTTTAATTATAACAAATAATAATTCGATTCTAGGAATAAATTGCTATTATGAATTTATTTCCTACAATTTATGAATACATACTTTATGATTCAGTAATACTAACGTCAATAGACGTATTTGTATTAACGTCAAACCTTAAATGGCAGAGCCATCATTTTAAATGTAAATCAATACAATACAGTACTAATTTCTGATTTACAAAAATTTACGCTTTCTCTTCATCTTCGTTGAATAAATGTTAGAACCAATGGAACATTTCAAAATTTATATTAATATACTTTTTAAATGCTTGACATGCGATGAATTTTTTTTTTTAAATTAAGTAGATAAATAAATATTTTAAATGATCCAATTTAACTTCTTTTTACCAAAAAAAGTGGCTTTGAAAAGAGCCAGTAGCCTGTCAGTTTTGAAGAAATCGGCAATTCGGGCCCTTCACGTGAGAAAGTATACCTATTTCACTGCATAAAATACCGACTTGACAAATCTTTTTTCCTCCGCATGAATTTCTTCTTTTTCCAAACTCTTTTTTGGGGAGCCCGCAACTTCCTGTTCATCTCCACTTCATTCGTCTCTTTGTTTTCGATTTCTTCCTTTGCTGAGTCCTATCCTTCTGGCCCTCGATTAGTCTATGGAAATAGAATCTCCCTTCTCGTTTCTGGTGATTTCACATTCTCGATTCTGGAAAGATCGATCGGATCTTCTGTAGAATAAATTTTACTTTTGTAAAGCTAATAAGTAAAGTTAAGTTTGTTGAACTGATTGTACAAAATGTGTTTATTTATTGTATTTACTTTGTCGAAAATAATAATTGACTCTTAAACATTGTTAGTTTTGAAAAGCTGGAAAATTGTAATAGTCTAGTAATTTCTTAACAGATTGTATAGTACATCGAAGAGAAAAAGTTGCTTGACGTTTTCTTAGCTCAACTGTAATTTTCTGAACACATGTGTACAAAAAGATCATGCGTAGTTCTGCCATGAAAATGCCTGGATTGAATATATTTAAATGTTTTGTCTTACCACGTTTAGGCTAAAAAAGTCATCTCTCAAGATGAAGATTTTCTGTCACATGTGATTGTCAGCGACCAATCAGTCAACATCTCAGGCATTTCAATTCTTCTATGGATGTAGTATTTTTAGAGGTAGCTCATCGGCCCATTTTAATCAGTCACAAAGAATTTGAGTTTTACTGCGGGATATTTTAAATAAACGGCAATTTATTACTTCAGATTTAAAATAATTGTCAAATTTGTCACTTACTTTAAAAGTTGAAAGGAAATATTTTAATAATTTCAATACTGTTCTTATACGGGTTTTTCATTCAATTTAAAAATTTAGGAATTATTATGTTGCTGGATTAAGAATCAAATGAAGTTCGTTTAATAGAAGCATACAGATAAACTATATATTTAAATTGAAAATATAACAACAAATCTGAATTTATGTACAACCCCACTTGGAATGCACCTTTTTCTCATCTAAACTTTCAGAAATTTACGTAAACTTGCGTACATATTATACGAAGTGCTACAAATAATTCGTATTGTAAATTAACAAGTTTATTTATATAACTTACTACCATAGATTCCATTAGTTTAGAATACACAGCTGTGAAAATCTTGCAACCTCTGGCAACAGACTGCAATCAAGTTCGTTCAGAAAAGAATTTTGAAAAATTCGAATTTCTAAGATTTCTAATATCTTTTCTTGCGTCACGCTTCCTGCATATAAAAGGCAGTCACTTTTAGCGGTTCATATTAAAATTTATATAAAATGGAAAAAGATTAGACGGTACTGAAACCAATCAGAAAATTAATTGCCCTGAAGTGTAAAGAATGGGTTCCTCAATGCAAGTATCGCGCGAGATTTGTACATAAGTCTGTATACACTCCAATGAATTATAAAATGTTTTCGAAAAAAGAGAAGCAGTATCCAGGGAAAGATTTACGAAAATAAGTACCTGTTTGTTTTACATATCTACAGTTCTTTTGAAGTATTTTTTAAATCAGGAAGTTTATATATCAGATTTCACAAACTTGCCAAAAGAATATATAATAATTCGAAATCTGAATGCATGGTGTGAAGATGTAAATACAGGTTGTAGAAATCGGTAGAAAAAATTTTTATAAATTAATCATGCAAGCGCAGACGGCAAAGAAACCGTCTGCGCTTGCATGATTAATTTATAAAAAATTTTTAAACTGCAGACAATTTCTGCAGTTTAAAAACGCTGATTAGAAGAAAATAGGAAGGTCAGACGAAACACTAATTCTTGTTTATTCATCAGACCGTATATCTAAAGGATATATAGGTAAAAAAATTAACCCTGCGTTAAATGCCCTGGGTCTCCGAGACCCAGCGCCACATTTGCGGAAAAATTCTTATTTTTATTGCATTGCATTTCTAAACAGAAAAAGAGCCCGATGTAGATATTGGAAAGACAGGAAAACTGAATATACCTGTAACAAGTGCAAAATCTACATCTGTTTACAGCATTCACAGTTTGTTTGTGAATGCTCCATAAAGAAATAAATAAAAAAATAATAATCAAATGAATTTTATTGTGTGTTGAATAAAAGTTTTAAAAAGTAGTGGAAAAAAAACATAATATGTAATCTTGTGTATTAATAAAATTTTTATAAGTATATTTGCTTCTTGTTTTTCTTATCATACAGTTCCAAATTTTTTGCATAAAAATGTTACGTAGTTAGTCGCGCTGGGTCTGTCAGGCCCAGGTCATTCACCACAGGGTTAATAATTTACCATGTTATTATCGACGAGTCCAGAATCCACATTCTTAAGTGAATGGGCACATAGAAAGTTAGAGATTTGTTTTCTTCGATGGAGCTGTGAAATCGAATAGATTAATATATATATGATTCTTCGGCAATATCTACACAAAACAAAACGTAAACTTTTTCAAACACGAGCCTGTAATTTCCAGCACGACAACGCCTGTCTGTACTATGCTAGAAAAAGCGAATTCTGGCTGCAGTCTTTGATCATATAAGTATGGACCAGGATTAACCTGAACATGTCTTTTACACAAAGTTTGTGGAAACTTTTATTTGGCAAAAAATAGATATATTATTCAATATAAAAACATATTTTAAAAACAATATCGTTTTATTCAGTGATGACAATTTCGATCCAATAACATAAATGCCAAAGATATACATGCACAATTTTATTTCTGTCCGTCGCGTGTATGAGCTGGGCTTATTAGAAAGACTGGTTAGCGGAACAATCACCACTGCATTTCAAACTGTCCAACTCTATAAAAGTTTGATTACCAAGATACAAACTGTAAACATTTGTGAAAGTACAAAGGTTGGTTGGTATCTGAGAAATTCAACTACAAGAGCGACAACCTTGGGATATATAAGAAATTTTATGAGATATCACAAACAAATATTAATTTCATTATATCACTTGTCTTTTTCATCATGTCCGCTAACGTCTGAAAGTTAACGCTTGTTAGGACATACTACGTAAAACATGTAAAAATAAATGTTAAGAAATAAAAGTCTTATTAACAATTTGAAACAGTTAAATCTTCAGAGACTTTTTCTTGTTATATCGAGTGTTTACCAGCTCCGCCAACTCTGTTCAGTTAAGGAAGGAATACAAAAAGAATGTTAGGAGTTAAGAATTATAGAGAAAACTTATGTTTACAGTGTTCTTATTCTTCAATTGTCAATGATAATGTTTTATTCAGGTATATTTCTTATTCTTCTGTTTTGTAATTGTTCATTTTGGAGTAGAAAAGAAGATAATATTCAACAGAGTGAATAGTATTTTTTATTAGTCTGTATGAAATAAGGATAACACATTTAATTTATATTTACATCAAGAAATTATCCTTTAGGTTCTTATAGTTCGAAAGAACAAATGAAAAGATTTATTCTAGATTTAAGCAAAATTCAGCGAGTAACTAATATATTTTTTAAAACATTATTTCATGTAGGAAACGGAAAAAAACCAAAGTCCACGGGACAATGAAGGAGTTAAGAAACCAGGAATTTCAGTTTATAAATCATACGTGAATGCCGGAGCGGGACTTTTCTTCAAGATTGTTATTTTATCCACGCTAATTATATCGCAATCTTTTACAACTGCCAGCGACTATTGGCTAATCAAATGGTAAGATATTATTATAATTAATATATAGTATAACACGTGAACTGTGTTTTCATAAAAAATGTTTAATCAAGACATCATTACATTCAATTCACTATTATAACAAGTTTCATGTATAATGAATGAAAACTTTTGTCAGTTGCAATGAATATATTTTTTGTATCTCTAAATATTTCCATACGAATATTATAATTTAGCATTTAAAATAAACGTCAACAAGAAATTTTTTAAGTTATATATCTGAATTTGATATATATATATTTTAAAGAATTCATGAATATTCATTTCAAGTGTACATCTTAAACAGGTAAATTTATTTTTGGATTATAAATTTAAACGTTAAAGTCACAAAACATCGATAATAATCTAATCTTGGCTACTTCGTTAATGCAATGGTCTTTAAGATCTGGAACTAGAACAAAATCTCACCTGCACAATATTTTGTTTCAGTGCCAAGCTGAGGTAATAGGCTTCAGCTTCTATTTCCTTAGCGGATTTTTAGCAGACTGAAGAAATGTAAATGTGTGGGAAATATTGCTCAGTAATTCCAGGCAAAATTAATCTGTAATAGAATTGATCGCATGGGTAAGAGAGTGCGATGTCGTCTACATTATACATCTTACGGTAAATAATGAAATTCTGGCTTAACTTTTCACTGAAACTATTTTATGTATTTATGCAAATATATTACTTCATCATCATTCGGTAGATGTCAACATCGTTTATATGTATTTTCTTTTTTTAATGCACTAAACAATTTAATTGTATTTCATTCTGTTAAAAGAAATAAAATAATCACAACGTGTAATTGTTATTTTATTTCTAATTTCTAGGTTGCAAGATATAAGAATCTATAGCCACAGCATAGAGAATTTCGAAAATATTACATCTAACACAAGTATTTTTCACAACATTGAAGACAAAAATTTTTATCACAGTGAAGAATTCAACATGTATGTTTACATTGGATTGATATGTGCCGTATTTCTAACGATGTTAACTTCTGGTTTATTGTTATACAAATTTTTCACAATTGCTTCTTTCAAGCTACACAACAATATGTTTCGTTGTATCATTCGAACTCCGATATCATTTTTGGATAACAATCCCGTTGGTATGTAAAATCTATTTATTTACTTTATTGTTAAGATAAGGAGTTTTAATGAGATTTGTAAAGGAATTTTTCGATATCATGTAACTTACGTAACTACGCATGTTGTTACTACTTTTATTTATCGTATTACAAATATTTATTATTGGTTTATATTTTAGGGTTAAATATGACAATTCATAGCCTAAAACATATTGTATTCCATAAAACATAATTAATGAAACGAAGTTGAAAAAGTAAAGCTCAGCGAAATCAACTAAATAAATGAAATTTTTCAAAGTTGTGGCATAAGAATAGTGAAACGAGATTTGACAGTAACACTCAATATGTCAATAAAATCCACATTACACAGACTAGAACTACGGAAAAATTTTGTATAAAGAATTGTTACCATGATCATAAGTCGGAAAAGTAAGCATCGTCGTAGAAATAGGCTTTGAGCTTTTCTTTTTGCTTCGAATTTTTTCAACTCTTACTGCTCAAAGGTGCTCTAATATTCAACCAAATTTTTGAAAGTGCAACAACATTAATGGAGAAAGTAATACTCAAATCCATTTTTTGTAACAATACATATTTTTCTGATTAATTTTTCTGGTGACATTGCTTGTTTAAAAAATTTTGTAATTTTAGTCTGCGTGATTTGCACTTTGTTCACATGTTCAATCCATGCTCAAACATTGTAAACACAAAAAGATTTCTTAGTGGACCACTGAGCTAGAAATCAATAAGAAAGTTTTTAGGAGATTAAGTAGGCAATTTAGGAATGAACAAAACCCGGACATTAAAGTCACATTACAGACCAGTACAGGATCGAACAGGACACTTACAGAAACTTTTTAAATAAAACAAGGACTAACACTTGGCAGGATTTCTGTACCAACACTTGCGGTTGCAACCCCTGGTCTGAGCCGTACTACTTAGCTTGTAAGAAAAACACCAGCTCCAAACCTCCTCACTAACCATCTCCCTAATAATCGCTACACCAACAACACGGAAGAAACTATCACGCACATCCTTACTAGCCTTTACCCTTCAGATGACAATACACGAGCGGTCAGCAGAAGTTCTACACTCTCACCATCTAATACAGACAATGATCACAAATTCACTTATATAGGTGTCTAATGCCATCTGTTTGGTCACTGATAACAAAGCGCCAGGTCTTGAGAGCATTAGGATAATAAAGGAAACTTTTAGCTTGGTTTCTGGTTAGGTTATGATAGGTGAAGTTAAATTAGAATAGGGTTTGTTAGCTTTAGTCGTTTTGTTAAGTTCGTCCTAGGTTATAGTAAGTTAGTTTAGTTAGTGAGTACCTCGCTGCTCTAAGAAATAAAATAAAAACAAAATAAATAAAAATTCTATCGGTAGACTATCTTACAGCATCAGGTTAATGAATTCCTTTATTATATTTGTACATATGCATTTCGAACTGGTTTCATATTTCCTATTCCTCTTCAGTGTTCTTTATGGATTTTATACATTTCCCTTTATCTTCAGTTAGATTGTTACATTGATACGGCACTTTCATTTTATCACATTATGTCTACCTTGGTATAAATCGCAATATGATTTAACAATTGAGGGTTTTTCGAAAATAATATATTCTACTAAACCAATAGTACTGGGCGTAAAATATAATATGTTGAAAATATTGGGATTTTTTTTCCTTTCATTGTTTTTTTGCTTTAATATTCCTTGAATAGAATAATGTTCAAGGAATATTAGGAGAAACTTAAGCTTTCTCCTATTTTGACATATTAAAAAGATGCATTTTTATCTTAACGTAATAAAAATATTTTTATTCAACATTCACTATGAGTGCATGCTGAATGTCGACATTTGCCGGTGTAAGTGAGAAATAATAGTATTTAGCAAATATTTCGTACATATACAAAACGACTGTGTAAATGCTGACATTCACCGGAGAATGTTGACATTCACCAGATATCAGTCATTCACAGTAACATATACATACTCCAAAAAAGTGCATAATATTTCATCTTTTTCAAACAAAATGAATTTATAAAACCATAATTACGAGTAATTACGAGTAATTGTGTTTAAAAATTAATAAACCTCACTGCTTCAATGCTAAAATTCATATTTACGATAAAATGTACCCTGGAAAATGTTTGAAATATAATAATTCCGGAAAACGTCATTTGTATAGCCACACTGAGTGATATTTCTATTAACAATAACAATCATATTCGTATTTTTTACATAAATATTTGGTTAATGTTACCGTAGGTATCGAGACGGCGGCGTTTCCGGTAATCTCGTATTGGGGTACCGAGTTACGATTGCGATAGAGGGCGCTGAATTTTAACGCGGCGGGATAGATTTGCATGACGATGAAGAAGAAGAAGGTCGGTTTGTTACAAAAATTTGGTGTTATTTCGTTTAAATTGAAGGAGTTTTTGTTTCTTTTCTCGTTATTTTACTTCCGAATGAGTGATTTGGACGTTGCCTCCGGAGAATTTTGGAAAGGATTTACCTACCGGGACTTTCTCCGTCTTATCGAAAGTGACTATTCCGAATTGGGTCTGGATCCCATAATCGACAAAGGGTTCAAATTTGCGGTAAAACTAGGATTACAGCACGTTGCCGACGTGTGCTCGACATGTTCGAAACCCTGCAAAGTCGTTTATCGCGACGATATGAAATCCTGTGCAATGAGATGTCAAAAATGCTGGAACAACAGCAGTTTGGAATTCGAAGGAACTTTCAAAGGCGAATTCGGCAAAATTCCCTGGAGTAGCATACTGTCGTTTGTGTGGCATTATCTAGCATTGGATTGCTCGTTTAAATTCCAGATACGTATACCGTCATGGCGGCTCATCTCTGATTCCAACAAACAAAAGGAAACAGTGGGGACGCACGTTCTAACCTAACCTAACCTATTTTAATAATTTGGTTGGTAATAATTATGGTAATTTATTAGAATAGGTTAGGTTAGGTTAGAACGTGCGTCCCCACTGTGTTTCCTTTCTTTTGTTTGATGGAATCAGAGATGAGCCGAAATGACAGTCTATGTATCTGGACTTTAACCTATGTTTAAGTGCAAATACGAAAAAGGCCTCGATTTTGACCTCGGGTTTAACACGCAAAAAGTAGGAAAAAAGAGAGAGAAGCATTCGAACGTAAGTAAAAAAAAATACACATTTTTTATTTATGGTTAAAGTCCAGATACGTAGACTGTCATGGTGGCTCACGTCTGATTCCAGCAAACAGTGGGGACGCACGTTCTAACCTAATTTAACTTATTCTAATAATTTAATTGGTAATAATTATGGTAATTTATTAGAATAAGTTAGGTTAGGTTAGAACGTGCGTCCCCAGTGTTTCCTTTCTTTTGTTTGCTGGAATCAGAGGTGAGTCGCATGACAGTCTACGCATCTGGACTTTAACCTTATTTTTTTTAGTAATAAAAAAGAATTACGAAATAAAATTATTATTATTTCGTAATTCGCTTTGTTTCACTTTTGGGGGGTTGTGGCGGTGGAGCCGCAGCCGTGGAGTTCGCAAACAAGATGGCGACTGGAAGCGCCGACCGAGTTGGCGACCGACGCTATGTTCGATACCTAGGGTAACATTAACCAAATATTTAATTTAATTAACATTTTTGGTTTGTATATTTTCTAGGAAAAATTTTAGTTCGGTTTTCTAAAGATGTTAAATCGATGGATGATTTGTTACCTTTCTTTACTTTCATGCTGATAAGAGTAAGTTAATTTTGAATTTATAGATTTATGTAAAATAAATTATAAAAAGTAATGAACATTTTACGCGAATGGCCAGTTTCAAAGGTATTTTTGCGAATTACACACGGATGTTTTGTTTACACAAATGTAACACACTGAAAGTAAAATTAACACTGTATTCTAAGTTTTAACATAAACTCCACCGGTGTTAATATATTTATGTCAGCGACAACCAAGTCTATGTGTCGTTTTCTTTTTATCTTTTTTTGCGTCATTTTACCCGTTTTAACTTTTTCTCTGACGTAATCATTTTTAATTGTGTCCTTCGTCACACCACACATCCTTTTCAACATTCTACTCTTTACTGTCTTCATTTTTTTTTCCGGGCACGGGCACATGTCCTGGCATTGCTGGTCTTACCTCGTTTTTCTGTAATTTGTTTTTCTTTTCGCAACTTAAATAAACAAATTTTTTGTTTTTTTTAATAATGACTGCGCTATTTTTGTACAGTTTTGCCTTACCTGTTTTTGAACTTCGTCATTTTTATCACCTCTAAAAAACAGACATGTATAGAACAACAATGGTTCCAGACAACTGTATTTATTATTAACACAGAGATGACACTTTTATAGGGAGTGGAAGAATTATATTATTTTTTAAAATCTTCATTTTAACATCTCGAATCACTTATTAGCAACTTATACTTTTTAATTTTAGGGATATTTTCTGGTTGTTGGCGCATGTGTTCTTCAAGCGATACTCTGTCCTTATCTATTCATATTGATTGCTGTCCTTTTAGCAATATTCTGTGCTTTGTGGACCATCTATAGCCGAGTATTGAAAAGTGTAAAACATTTGGAAGGAAAATGTAAGTATTTCGAATATAAAAGAATTTATTGAATTTAACTTAATTTTATGCAAAATTTTAGCGATGGAATTTATGTACAGGGTTGCAGACTCTGTAAACATTCTAAGCTGCAAAGTTACAATGCAAAAGAATCAAATCGTGTATTTTATGTCATAAGCTATACATTTTTTAAAAAAACATGTCATAAAAAGTGTATTAATTATGTACGCAAGAAAAAAGTTTTATTTGTGTCAAAACATTATTACTTTGTGACCGTTATATCCAATGTTTTATAATTTTAATTGCCAACTGCCAGACAATCACTTACGTTATGAAAGGAAATTGTTGTTTTTTACAATTACAGATTTAAAATATTTATGAAAAATTAGACAGGATAATTTAAGATTATAATCTGTTTACTTGCTTGAAGTCAATTTTAAAATATTACTTAATTTAATACTGTAGGCCTATATAATTACAAATATTTACGTTATCCTAAAAATTATCAACGACAAGGCATGAAACAGTAAAATATCTTCGATTCAGATAAACAGATATAATGTATTTACAGGAATTTATTTATTGCGGAAATTATTTACAGGAATAACTTTCTGAACTTTCTGAAGGTTATCTGAACCTGCAGAAATAACGTTATAACAAGTTCTGGTGTGATTTCTGCAAGTTCAGATGTAATGATCTGTTAGAAAATTCTGTATGAAAAATTTAATTTTCCAAAAGACGAACAATTATCATGTATATAACAAATATTTTGTTACAAGAGAGTTCGAAATTAAATTGCTTTTTAAGGAAGAACGGTTTAACCAAGCAGGCATACAGGATATTTATTGTAATGCTTACAACTATTTAAAGCGATGAAATTGAACATTGAACACAAATCCACTTTACAATTTTTCAAAGCATTTGACTTTAACAAAGAGAATAAATATTTATAACCAACACATCAATACATTATAGCGAGAAATTTTTTTGTAAACTGAAGAAATGCGAATTTGCCGTTATAAATGAGAATTTCGAAATATTATGGGAAAATAATACGTTGTCTAAACGTGGGAAGTGAACAAGAGGTCTCTTAATAAACGAGACAGGAAAATACTTAGAAAACTGTCAGCTTTATATAATGGGTGCTTTATGAATAAACGAACATGAGCTATTTGTTGTTGCATTTATAAATTTCTTCATCTCTATAAACAGAATGAAATTTATGTGAAATGCGATTGCTCATAGAACGGCATTTCCAATTGTAAAGTACTACAACAAGTAGAAATGACTACATTTTACACTTTTGTTCGATCAAAAATGATTAAGACAGCCCACGAAGAACACTGCAAAATTTGAACGGTCGTGTAACTTCTCAGAATGAGGTAAAGTTTAAAAGACATAATTTCGGATGACAATTTGTACATAGGAGGTCATTGATGCTATTATATTTTAGTGGTTAGAGTCGAGGAGTTGGGAGATAATTGCGTCGTACGTCGCATATTGAGTGGGGAATCTTAATGCAAATTTTACCGTTATTAGCATTTACAATTTTTTAAAACTTCACTTCTGGTTAATTTAAAGTTTATTCAGAACTATTACTTGTTACAAATTAGCAACATGCTGAGCAGCAGGAAACCTCGTACTTTGTTTCTAATGATGTATACATTAATTCTAAAAATGTTAGTTAAATGGGAATCACTCGACATATTTCTTTCATCAGTTTTGATGTTTTTCATGCATGATAAGGATTGTACACAACAGTATGTACTACCACACTTGCATAACAGTTTTTAAGAAAAATTGACGACTCCATCAAATTTATTGTAAGAATAAACTTCTTTATAAAATTTAATAAAAGAATGTTCTAACGAGTTATACCTGGTGTCCGGCTGATGTAATTTAAAAAAATGGCTTACTAAACAATTTTAATTCAGTTTCTATTTTTGAAGTAAAGAAATGTTCGTGTTAAATCTTTTAAGAAAACTTCGCATAGTTTGTTGTATTTTTAAAAGTACAAATAAATAAAAAGTTTAAATAAAAATCATTGTAAATAAAACAGATAACATGTTTCAGTTATGAAATATTTTCCCGGCCAATAAAATACTGAATTTTTCCTTGTTTAGTATAATATGCCATGACCGAATGCTGGGTTATTAAAAATATAAATTTAACGTTGATAAAATAATTTTGAATATAATTAACGGTTGAAAATATTTAAATTATTACGTTAACAAAAATAATACATAGCTAGACCGATGTCTGTATTATACACCTGTAATTTAAAAAAAATGCCAAACTGGAAATTTCTAATTTATTCTTTATATCATCTATTGATATAAAAAATAAATTACCGATTCTACTTTGGCATTTGGCCTAGCTTCGGGTCAGTAAAAATGGTTGACACTTTTTTCAAAAGAAGAATTGTGTTGTTTTCATCAGGCGTATGAAAGCGACACAATTCCCCTTTTGAAAAAGTGCCCATTCTTTATCACTAAAATCACTTCATTTTAAAAATCTTTGAAATTGAAACAATCAAAATGACAGACCACGCCGCCAACATTTTCGATTGGTCAGGTATGTATTATGTCACCAATTCTGTCATTATGACATCAAAGTGTTATCAGTGAAACGAGAATAATTTTTTCGTCATACTTTACAAAAATAAATGAAAATGTACCTAAAAAATTTAGGATGAAATAGGCCGCATCAAAATATAATATCGGTTGCAGTGCGACCCGGGGACAACGGGTTGGACGTCTCTGTTTAAGAAGAATGTCTTGTTTTTCAGTTGTTGTTTCACATAAAGAGTACAATGTTCTGCTTGCATTTTATGTTCTATGCAATTCTGATCAGTCGTTTGTTAAATATAGATAAATATGTTCTGGTGCTTTTATGAATATAATAAGTTAATCATTATTATATTTAAAATATAAAATAATTCGATTCTATAATACAATACTTGTAAAATACTTGAATTATATATACAAATTTCTTTTGACAGTGAGAAATCCAGTATTTTCACATCTGAGTGTATCTCTTTACGGACTGACGACAATTAGAGCATTTAAAGCTGAAAGCAGATTTAAATCCATGTTTAATAAGTATCAGGATAAGCATACTTCAACGTTGTTTATTTATGCGTGTTTAGTTCGATGGATTGCCATATACGGTCACATAATTTCTTTTATAAATCTAATTATTACTGTTATTATTTTTATTGTTTCAAATAATTCAGGTGGGTGAATATATTCAAATGTCTAAAATCTATGATATAAATCTTTTTGAATATATATTTGCTGATTTAGCTGAAGCAGGAAGCAAAATTGGACTTATACTGAATTACGGAATATTGATAATTATAAATATTCAATTCCTCATTTCATTTACATCTGAAATGGAATTTCAGGTATTGCATATCTAATCAATCCGATAATTATACCAATTATCAAACGAACAGCCAATTGCTTTATCGGACCATATCCAATTTTTCGAAACACAGATCTTCTTATCGTCTCTTGTTCACACGTTTTTGTATTATTTTCTCAAAAATATATGAAGAGAATAAAGTCCAATAAGGGAATTTGAGAGTTGGTTTGATAATTCTGGTATTATTTCTTTAAAAAGTTAGTAATCATTTAATAATTAGTTGTTATGTTTAGCACTAGTGTATGTATATTACTAGTATAATGCAGTTTTCTCAAAGTAAGAAAAAACAACTTTAATTTTTTTCCCATTAATAGTTCAGAAATGAACGAAAAGTTTTCTTTTAAAAAACTCGATTATCGTATAAATTTGCCAAAATTATGTTTTGCAAACATACAAAACAGTTAAATCATATCTTCAAACAGTATAGATTGTTTTATGTGAGTTACAAATAAACCGTTTACGGCATTAATATTTCGGCTCATACATTTCACAAACATTGGCAATTATAATTACAGAGAATTTATATAAAAGCTGTACAATTACGATATTTTATAAAATAGAGTTGATACAAAGGTTAATATTAATCAGAAATAATTTTATGAGTAAAACAGTTACAATAAAAGTTTGTATTCTTTACGTACAAAGGCGTAGATTATTACAGTTACAGTCAAAGCAGTAGTAGTTTTATTGCCACTGATCATTAAATACAAATTTATTACTAACATTTTTCTATATAATATTTTCAGTGCCAAGGTATAGCGCGTTGTGTTCCCTATCAGAAATAATCAGCTTTAGTTTGAAAGTAGCCTCAACGCGAATTTTATTTATTACAAGAGTTGCGTTCCCTTTCTTATTTTCAAAAATAAGGGCGCATCTCGCTTTCCGCACGACCCTCTTGGTTAAAGCAGTAACCTAATTAATTAAGTAATTATTTTGGTTTTTAACAGGGAAATTGGGAGTGGAACTTAATGTTTGAAACAGGGAGTGGAACTTAATGTTTTGCCAGGAGATCAGGTATTAAAAATTTTGTGTACCCAGTGCAAAGTTTGCTTAGCGATGCGGCACAAAAAAACGTGAACGATTCTCTTATTGTGATCACACCCATGACAACGGGCAGAACGTAGACGCTGGTAGGTGCGAAGATACTACCTACTCATCACGATGTTGTTTAGAATTTTTCACGTGAGTTCTCTTCACTCAGCAGGGAGCTTCCCAACATTAATCCAGGACTTATTCCAATTAATCGCAATATCCATCAGATTTTTGTTGGCACTTTGCTTATGAATGTTCATGTAGACGGTACTGGGCCTTAATTTATTTCAAACTTGGTAATTATTAATTTTGGTAGTAACAATTTTTCTCCATGTTTTGTATTTACTGGAGTTGTCGAGAAGGAAGGAAAATTATTACACTAAAAATAAAATTTCTAGTTAAAAAACAAGTAAAAATTATATTCTTTCTATTTCCGTCTTCGAAGATTCTATGAGCCAAAACAAGACAAACAAATGACAAGGACAATCATCATGAACAATCATCATTTTTTTTAATTTTACCAAATGCATTTCGCCATCAGGTCTCCTCAGTGGATACATCAAGATGTTATTCGTTGGTTACGTTTTATACCCAACAGCCGTTCCCAGCATGCATCAACAATCATTCCAGCATTCAAATTAAGTAAATTTACATGTTCGGCGATACAAAAATGTTCTACAATTTTTCTTTCTAAGTTATTTTCTATTCTATACAATATTTTAGTATTTTTTTATTTATATTAAAATTAAATTTTCTACAATGTAAAAACCATGCTGATTCCGTTCTTTTCAGTTTAATGGTCGCCTCATGTTCCTTTACTGTCAACTCCAATCTTCTTCCGGTTTTTCCAATGTAATAATTTGGGCTTCTACATGTACATGACATCCTATATACGACACCGGCGATCTTAAATTAGTTTCTGTGCGAATTTTCACTATTTATTATGCTGATAATGTTTGATATCTTGTTCTTTTGATTTGCAACTATGCATATAGAAAATTCTTTAAATATCGATGTATATTTTTCAAAAACATTAGTAACATAAGGAAACTTTACATAAGAAATACCTTCTATGCTGTTTTTAACATTAAATTTACGTTTTAAATATAAATTGTACCACTTACAGAGAATATACTTCGGATAATCATTTAATCGAAATTTTTTAAACAATTGTTTTACTTCGATGTCTATATTTTCTTGCTGAGTTGTTCGATTTAATATCTTTCTCAATTCCATAATAAAGACATTCTTTTTATTTTCTAAAGGACAGTAAAATTTAAAGTTAATAGTTTTACCATTATTACATAGTTATTCATACTTATTAAATGATACACTTGTTTCTTCTTTTTTTATGGTGACGTCTAAGAAATTCATGGTGACGTCTAAGAAATCTATTATTATGTCATCTACATATCTCGCATAATATTTATACCTGTTAAACTTGAAATTCTTTCATCTATTTTATGCATATAGTTATCAACCAGTTTTGGTCCTATGACTGATCCCATGGCAATACTTTTCTTCTGCCTATAATACTCTGTAGAAATTTTGAAGTAATTATAATTAAATACAAATTTTATAAGTTCTATTATATATTCTGGAACGTCATATGATTTATGACTTTCTATTATCATTTCTAGAGTGATCGACAGATACATAGACTTTATATCAAGACTCATAATACGAAAAAATTTTTTATAATTACCTTTTAACAATCCGTTAATTAGTTCTTTTGTATTTTGTATACTATAAGTTGATTTATACATATTCTGAAAAAAATTTTTTAAAAAACATTCCAAACTTTTAAAAAACATTCCAAATTTTTAAAAAACATTCCGAATTTTTAAAAAAATATTCCAAATGTTAAAAATTATTACAAATTTATAAAAAACATAAACAAAAATATTCCAAATTCTGAACAAACATAAACATTTCAAAAAAAAACAAAAACATTCCAAATTTTTAAAAAAACATACCAAATTCATAAAAAACATAAACAAAAACATTTGTAATTTTTAAAAAACATTTTAAATTCCGAACATAAACAAAAACATTTCAAATTAAAAAAAAACAAAAACATTTCAAATTTTTAAAAAAAAACCATTCCAAATTTATAAAAAACATAAACAAAAACATTTCAAATGAAAATTATCATGATTCTCAGTAATAAGTTTAACAATAACAAATATGTAATGGGAGATGAGAGCAGTAGGATGGTTCTGATTTTTATAGGATTAACCATATTAGCCAGTTGGAGAGCGTATTTCAGACTCTTACAGCCGATTGCAGAGAGAGTTTCATTAAACGACCTTTATCAACAGAACGGTCTATAGACATTGGCTGGCTGAACCGCAGTTTAAAATGCGTTGAAAAGACGATGATTGTTTATTTCAGAACGCCCTCTAAACGAACTTGGGCAAAACATTGGCTCTTACTTACTTCGCTATTACTCCCCTGTTTTAGGAGTCATTCGCCCAATCGGGTTATTTGTTTGTGACGTCAGAAATGATCGCCAGCTATATTCCAAAAGCTTCCAGAAATAAAATCTTAAGGCCATCAAAACCATTGTTCAGCAATTAATGACAATCCTTTTCCATTTCGATATTTAATTTCGTCGCCAATACGATTTAAAATACGAACAAAACCATATTTAGAAAATTCGTCTTCGCAATAGATTTTTAAGGAATTATTTCGACATCTTATTACTGTTGAAATGAATAATTTTAAATATCTTGTTATTAATATTACATTTTTTATATCTACAAACAGATTTCTGTAATTATTAAAATTGTCTCGTTAGTTTAACAGTACAATGACTCTGAAAAGCATTAACGTTTTATAACTGACACGATACTAGAATTGTAAATAAATGCGTCTGATTTATATTAATTGAAGTTTTAAATCTACGCCCATTTGAATATCGAAATTGGAACATTTCAAAACAAAATTTAGAGTATTTAATTTTGTTTTCTTTGCTCCAAGCAATTAATTAATGAATAATTTTGTCGATTCGTACCGTTTACAACGTTTATCAAAGGAACGATATCTGTTTTTATCTAAACTTTTCCACGAACAAAGCTACCACTCGAATTGAAAAGCCCTCTAAACCCGCTGTCGAGTGAGCCTTGAAAATAGGTCAGATAACTAGACTTTTATTCTCTGTCCACATTGTGTCAGGTGAGAAACGTCATCTCTGCAATGAAATTTTTCTGAACAGCGGTCTACCCGATCCGTAAACCGCCGTCGGCTTCTAAACGTTGTCTCTGCAATCGACTGATTAGGTCCCACACTCTCAGATTGATATAAACGTTAAACATTATTTTGGCAATTATTAAGATTTTACTTACAATAGTGACAGAGTCAGGTAGGAAAAAATAATTAGTACACTACTTCATATAAAAATATTCCAATCATTACTGTCATTGAGGTTCTCGGATAATATATCTTGTTACCTCAATAAGTTTAATAGTTTCTGTTACTTCATAAAACTTAAATTTTCTAGATGAACTCGGTAAAGCGCATTCTGAAATACAGCAAATTGAAATCGGAAGCCTCGTATGAAAGTTTGCCCGATAAACGACCACCCTCGGACTGGCCACAGACAGGAGTAATTCATTTCGATAATGTTTCTTTACAATACTCCGAGGATAAAAACATCGTTCTAAAGAATTTGACTTTTCGTATTGGCTCGGGAGAAAAGGTAAAATGTCTGCAAATCAGAAGTGCATTGTAAGTAATTATTGTGTAAAATGGTTTTTCTTTATTTATTAATTGCAGATAGGAATTGTCGGGAGAACAGGAGCTGGAAAGAGTTCTATAATTGCTTCGTTATTTCGCATGACGGAGCCAACGGGAACAATCACCATCGATGGAATCGACATCAAGGAAATCGGTCTTCGAGATCTACGTAGTAAAATATCCATCATTCCTCAAGTAAATAAACACTAATTCGGTCAACATAAATCCTAGTTTATAATTTTCATATTTTTTATGTAAAAATGTTTTTCTTTTTTTCATTCGTAAAATTTTAATTTGTAAAATATGATAAAATATATTGTTCGTCGATGTATTTAATCTGGATGATCAAATTCTGTAGGTATTAAGTTAGTTTACAGCAAGATTTATGTAAGGTGATTTATTGTTAAATCGTAAATAGGATAAAAGATATCGACTTGTACTGAATTTATTATAACTTCCACTAAAAAATAAGTAAAGAAAAAAATTAAAATCAGCCTTAACTTTCAACCTATTATTGCATGGGCCAGAGATCTAATCAGAACAAAATAAAGTACAGTAATTCCTCGACTTACGCTACCCCCGACTTACGCGAACCCGCAGTTACGGGATTTTCAAATCTTGTCGATTCGTCTTTTGTTTGAGCGCCACGCAACTCTTGATTACTCACTCTCCCCACACTATTGTTCAGCTTACATGTTTGGACGTGTCGCGCGGAATTGACACATAGTTACAATTTATTTTGTGTTATTTATTTCTGTGTTTGTTATATCTACAGAGACTCGAGAGACTCTATGTGGTGATTTCTTGCAACCGTGAAGGAACAAAAAGACGAGATAAGATAAACGAGAACATTTATTAGCTTACATACATCCGACTTGGATTTTACACAAATTGCGAAATTATACTCCGACTTACGCGAATTCGACTTACGCAGTTAAAGCTCGGTCTATCTATCGCGAAAGTTCAGGGTATTACTGTACACAAGAATATTTCATGGGTAGTCTGTTCCGGATATTTCGAGTTCTTTCCCTTTTCGTTTACTTTGCTGTTGTGGACCCAACAGAACTTAACAGTGGCGTAGCGCAAGGGGCATCTGCCCCCTGCGCTTTTCACTGTTAAGGCTGCTATACACCATGGGTTAATCCTTTGAGGCTGCCTGGCCTTGAGGAACTTCCGAATTTTCTATCGCCCAAAAACGAAGAAAACCTCTCAGCAGAGGGGAGCCTAATGGTTTCCAAGAATAACAAAATTTGTTTATGGAGGGGAGCCTGGGCGCCAATATAGTGTCGCGGCCCGGATGCAGTTATGTTCGCTACGCCATTGTGTTTATTATTACGCAACTGATGTTTATTGGCAACAAATTTTATTAAAACTCGCGGGAAAAAAGTATGCATAGAAGTCTATGGTGTAAATAGTAGTAGTAGTGGTTTGAGTAGCACTGATCACAAAATTAATTTTTCATATGAATAATTTTTTAATGGAATTATTTCAGATCACAAAATTAATTTTTCATGAGAAATCTTGGGCTATAGATTATGTTAAAAAGCATCAATTATCAGCGAAAGACAATGGCAAGTCGATTTTACTACCAAAAAAATTCATGGATTAAATTTTATAGACGAATATATATTAATAATTCTCAACCACATCCGATATTAGTACAAATTGTAAACATTATTATCGCAAATTAATTTTATAATTTAATAATTAAAAAGAATTTATTAAACTTTGTCTT